GGGGCAGCTGGCAGCGCGAAGGGGTTGCGCGGGGAGGGGTGGTTGAAGGGTGGCGACGGAACCGGTTGTCAGAGCTCCTAGGGCGGGCGACGAGCAGTTTCTGCCTGCGCCGCACCGCCCACCGACTTCAGAGGAATCAGACTATATATGGGCGAGGCCGTAGTGGTGCAGGAGTGCGCGAAACTTTTCAAATGCTGTTCCTTTGTTGTGTTGAACTGGGTTTGATCTCGGATTAAGATGTAATCTTATTTCTTTTAACTTCCGGAGGATGTTACATTAAAAGTATTATTACAATATTAGTTCGCTTATATTAAATATAATTAACTTAATTTTAAATTTCAAATTAAATTTTAAAGTGTCAGGTTTATTAAAATATCGGTTCGCCACGTTTAGAAACATTGAATGTGATATTCTCAGAAGTATTAATTGCATAATGAAAGATAACTTTACTTTTTGGATTTGTTAAATGTTATTGACTGCAACATTTGCTTTTTTTATTTTAACAAGTTAAGAACAAATATTACCAGAGATATGAACTGTACGGCTAAAGGTTTGTGTTGTTAAGTGCAAGATTAATAAGAATAATACAAAATACAGAAATTTAATGATACTATATTCAAGAAAACTTACCTTTTAATATTTCATGAATGGTTAATAAAAATTATTTCTCCCTCCCTCCTTCCCTCTCTCTCCCTTCTCCTCTCACCCTCTCTCTTCTCCCCTCTCTCCCTCTATCTCTTTAAACGTAGGGCAAAGTAGAATGGAAGACATGGAGTAAGGGGGAGAAGAATAGAAAGGACGGGGAGGAACGAAGAGTAGTTTCTTAAAAGACTAGATGATGTGTACTAGTTGTTACAAATGTTGTAGCTGCCAATTACTATATTTATTTTATGAAATACATATTTGTCTACTTTCTGACACATTCATAGCGTTTGATTTGATTACTGATTTTCAATTACTAGTTTGATATGATTTGAATGGATGGATGGATTTGAAAGCTTCTCGTTTTGAGTCTTCATTTCGACAATTTAGAGGCGAACCTTATGAAGTCTAATGGCCAAAAATGTTTAAAACATTGCAAGGAGAGGAGGCGCAGTGACCACTTACGATTCCTCATATTGTCAGAATTAAAAATGAAAAGGAAAACAAATAATATTCATATCTTGTGTTTTCTCTTTTGTAACTTTTGGGTACTAATTTAAAATAGTTTACTGAGGGCTTTTTCGCCATTTTCACAATAAAAGAAAGTTTAGTCAACTCAATAGAACTAAATAGAGACACCTTTCTGAAAGGTCCCTTCAGCGAACAATTTTATTACATCGCTGCGTCAGATGATCTGAAAGATCTTTGAAGAAATCTAGAAGTCAAAAGTTCAGTTGTCTTTTATGACGTCAGTTCAACTATTATTCCGCATTTGGTTTCGCGGGAAGCAGAAAGCCCGTGAGGGGTGCGTCCAGCTGCTTTTAAAAATAAAAACGCATGTTGCCATGAAATATTATCTACGGGTACTATAAACCGCCACTAAATCTGGCATCTCATGTCATGTTTCTTAAAACGTTTCCCACGTACGCTGTAATTCACTAAGTCAACGAACTTAACGCCAACCTGTGTTGGCGCAATTTTCGACACTAGTTAAATAGCTTGGTCAGGTTCAGCCACGTCTCTGCTGAGAATTCCAGCGATGGTCTGCTGTGATTGGTAGTTTTCCGTTCCTTATAAATACCAACCGAATGCCGGAGCAGTACCCTAACAAATGTGCCATAAACCGCCTGCGATATTTTCTTCCTAAAACTTAACCCGTCATCTCAGTACGACAGCCGCACACATGTACTATGAAGTCGTAGGCTTCCGCGGCCAGAATTATGTGCGTGATCTTGGCGGCGTCATCCGGACAGCCAAGATCACACACACATGTACTATACTACCATACATGTCGGGAGACCATTCGGGAGCATAGAGGTTGCCTCGCTAGGGCGGAGTACTTCTAGAAGAGGTGCCTAGTGGGCCGAAACTTCACAAGCCAACGAGTAGGTCGGGGCCGGATCACTCCTAATAGCGATGGAACACATTTCCCAAATTATAACATCCACTTCACTTATAGGACACATAGCCACGGCTGCTGACACACCTAGAATCACGTGATAATCAACGTTAGGCGTATGAAAGGCAATGGATTAAATTGAGATGACGTAGGTGGCTTCGAAATCAACGACAGTCGGGACACTTTTCTTGAAGGAACTAATGTTACTCGGTGTTCGAGATGAGCGTGGAGAGAAGATATTCTGTGGAGAAGGCGGAAGAAAGAGAAAGAAAGAGAAACAGAAGGGGTAGATATTACATCTTTGGGCGAAGAACTGATAGTAATGAAGATTCAATCCTCGGAGGCCCTAATGGCTTCGATAAATGGAAGGCGGAAGGGATGGGAAACATGGCCAGGGAGGGTATACAATCAACGAAGTCAACAGAGATGACGGAAATCTTAAAGCAGCTAACCCAAAGGAAATAAAAGTGAAATATTTCATGAGGGGTGAGAGATCAAAGATTGAAGCTAACGACGAATGAAGTAGAAGGGAGCGTAGAAGGTGACCGAGGCTACATTCACATGCGAGACAATGCAGGCGAAATGGTGATACCGAAATAAACGAGTAGAAAATAGTAGATCGACTCGAAAGTAATCATGAAGAGTGTGCAAGAGTTGGACAGACACAACTTCGCATTAGAGCAATGGTATCTAGAAGGTAGGTTCGTCAAAAGCATTGCTACTATGGGCATCAATCAACGTAGGTAACGACGCCAGCTAGCCGAAGCAGACGCAAAGATGGTGTCCAAAAAAGTGGAAAATGTTGAATAATTCACAAATCATTAAAGGAAGTGTGAAGGTTTGGAAGGAAAATTATGGGAACTGCGTGGTTGGGGCCGAAGAAGTTAGGAAGTGAAGGAGTCTGGAGGTGACTGTGCGGATGACAGCATCGGAGGTAGACCCGTCTGAAGAGCCAACCATATTGGTTCTGGTGACGTGGATGTTTTCTGCATAACTTCAATCAATTGTAAATCTTAAAATCTCATGCACTTTTTTTTTAATCTGAGTAATTATTGAGTGGTAATACTAGAGAAGTACTAGTTCTTTAATTATTGACTACTATAAAATGTCTCTGTTTTGCTTATCTAAAATGGACTCATTGACAGTACTAGGTGAAGTGAGACCGTGAAAAAAAAGAGTACAGATTCGTGGAGCGACTGCTAGTGGTTATGGAGAGAGTTAATGAACTCATGGAAAATGGAAACGGCGGCGTTGGTGGCGAAAGAGTATGTGGCCGGTCAGAGCTTGTTAGGAGAAGCAGTCACGAAGGTGAGGCTAAAAACGAATAGCGAATGATGGAGCGACAATATTTATGGAGAGACTGCAAGTGATGGAGGAAAATGATGACTTTAGAGGCTAAAAATGAAGACGACTGTTTGGTTGGCAGCGACGGAGGACAGACGCGTCAGACGCGTGAAGCAGATGCGAAGGTTAAGACGCCAAAAAAGAGCAGGAAATTGTTGACCGTCTGCAAGTAATATTCAAGACATTAAAGTGTTCATGGAAAATGAAAGAAACGGATCGTTGGAGGCGAAGAAGTATAGATGGGGGCGATGGGGGAGACGGTGGGAGGCGTGTCAGAAGTGCCATGCATGGTAGGCGAAGCAGACGCGAAAGTGAGGCAAAAATACGTGGTTGTGGAGCAACTCGCGCTTATTTACGGAGAGGGTGCAGGTGTTGGAAGAAAAGGGTGGCGTAGGAGACGACGTCAAAAGTGATGCCAAAAAAGGGAATCGTGAAACGACTCGCGCGTGTTTATGGTGACACTGCAGGTGTTGGAGGAAAATGATGTCTTTGGAGGCGGAGTTTGAAGGCTACCGACGGTGTATGGTTGGCAAGCGACGGAGGACTGACGCGTCAGATGTATGAAGTTACGGACGCCCGCGTGGCAAAGCGGATGAGAGGGTGAAGACGCCAAAAAAAGAGTAGGAAATGGCCGTCTGTCTGCGAGTAATAAAGGAGACAGTTCAGATGTTGCAGGAAAATAATGTAAACGGGACCGATGGAAGCGAAGAAGTATGGATGTTAGCAATGGGGGCGACGAAGAGGGACGCGTCGGAAGATCTGTGCATGGCAGGCGAAGCAAACGCTAAAGTGATGCCAAAAAAGCAACCCGCGCGTATTTATGGTGAGAGTGCAGGTGTTGGAGGAAAATGACGACGTTGAAAGCGTTGTCTGGTGGGACAGCAGACTAGAGGTTACCGAGTGGCCGTGTGAGGGCCGATGTCCGTTTGGGAGACAAAACCACATAAGAAGCACCATTGAACGCGTGCGAGTCGATGCAGGCACTTAGGTGAAGCGGAAAAAATGAGTAGGGAATGGGTAATGTTGAAGCGTCTCGCGTTTAGTTATCTGGGATGTGTAGGCGATGGAAGAAAATTATGGGAGTAATGACTGTGAATGCAAAGAATTTTAGTGACAGCGACGGAGACATCATAATCACCGTGGCTATATACGCGTGCGAGGGAAAGTAAACGGGAAAGAGTAGGGAAATCACCAAGAAAGGGGAGGGAAACAGAAGCGTCTCGCAAGTAATTTTGAAACTAGAGCAAGTATTGGGGAAAAGGATGCTAATAGCGGCATTTGAGGTGAAGAATTCTGAAGGTGACGGAGTAGGTGATGGCGGTGGAAGCATTCCAACCATCGAGGCTACGGACGAATGCTAGATGAAGCAGGAATGTGAAACCAGGAAAAAATAGAGAATGGTGGAATGTCAATACTTCTGGAGAGCAGGTGTTTGGAGGCAAAGTAGACTGTCGCTGGCAGAGCGGCCACACGAGAGGTGGTGGCAGCGACGGAGTTCGAAACTCATAAGAAGCACCATGACTCCGGGCGCCTGCGGGGCGAAGCAGACGGGAAAGGGTATGGAGATCAAGAAGAATGAGACGGGAAAGAGAATCTTCTCGCGAGTAATTTGAAGGACGTGCAGGTGCTGGGGAAAAGGCTGGTAGCGGCGGCGGGGCAGGCGAAGGTGTCTGGAGGCAGGAACGCGCCTCAAGCAGTGGGCGTGCGGGCGGGCGCCAGGGCGCGTGGGCGGCGAGGCAGGGGCGACGGAAAGGCGGCGCGGAGGCTGGTGCGTGCGCCGTCCTATCTGTCTCGGGAACACGATACGAATGCCGCCCGTAAATATTTACCCAGCGCCGCCAGGCTCCCGTTAAAATAGGCCTATCTCAATGCCCCGACCGCGGCCTCACCCGCACCACACTCCTTCACTCCCCGCGATACACCCTTTACTCTCCCCGTTGTTTTCGCAATTCCCGTCCCCGCACACACTCTTCCACATTCTTACCATATCGCGCCCTCTCTCTCTACCGCACCCCTTCTCCTCTCCCTTCCACATCAATTCCCCTTTCACCCCTCTCTCCTCTTTTCTTCCTGGCCACACCCTTTTTCTCTTCTATCTGCTACCCCCCTCCCACCTCCCCATCACACGCCTTGCCCTCTGCTCATCACATGCCTCCCGCATTCCCCTGCCATACCACTTGTATTTCTACGCCACAACCACTTACTCTCTCACGCCAGACTTGTTCCTTCTCCCCGCTACGCCTCTTCCCCTTCTCCCGCCACGCCATCACCTTTTCCGGCCATACCTTCCCCCTTCGTCGCCACACACATTTCACTCTCTCCACCACACACCTTCTCCTCTCCCCGCCGCACTCTTCCCCCGCACCATACCTCTTCCCATCATACCCCTTTCCTCTCTCCGTCACATCCCTTCTCTGCCGCACCTTCTCCCCACTACTCTCCTTCCCCTATGCCCACTGCCATTCTCCGCTACACTCCCTTCTTTTCCCTGCTACATATTCCCCTTCTCCTGCCAAACTCCTCCCCTCCCCCACCCCACTCCTTCCCACGGCTCGCCCCTTGCGCAGAGAGCCTCCCGGCTGACACAACAGCGGCTCAGCTGCGCCCGAGGAAATGAGTGGCCACCGAGGGCGAGGGCGATCTAATCGGGTGCGCGCCTGCTCATAAAGACACAAACTATCTGGCAATGGTGAGAAAGACGGATGTGGCGCTTGTCCACCGGGAGGAATAGAGCGCCCTCAATGATAAGCGAAAGAGACGGCTGAATAATGCTTCCGGAAAAAGGCGACTAAGGGTTCGGTCGGCGTTTGTGTGCTTTGAAAAGAAACAAAATTCAGTGTGGTAATTATTGTAGAACACGTGACCCTTACATCCAACATAAAATATGAGCAGAGTGTAAATATGGAATTAAACTGAAATTAAGTGCATGGGCAATAATTAGTCAAACAAAAACGCAAAGGATGATATTGTAACTAGGAGCTACAATAGCACATACTTTCTGAAATATTTCTAAATTTGCAATTTTCAAACATTTTCAGAGTTTTCAACGGAAATGAGACGTACGCCATTCCATGAAGCGTCCCTTGTTCTATCTGCGGGGGGAAAAATTAAACAAAAAATTGGGGCGATTTTTGAAAAAAATTTATATTATGCATTAACTTCAAATAGAAATTATGTGAACACTACTAGTTTTTTGAAATAAAGTCTTCATGACCTAATTTCAAGATGCCTTTAAATAATAGATTTTATTCAAGAAAAAAATCTTTATATTCAATATTGTAGTTTTAGGAAGACGCCGAAAAAATTGAACTTTTGTAATTTTCAAAAATCCAGGATTTCAAAAAAAATAATTTCTTAACCATTTTCTTAAGCGACCATTACACTATCTGATCACTAAGTTTAGTTAAAAATTTGACGCCATTTTAGAGAAAATTTTTAAAATATTTTTGAAGCTTCATGTATAGTACCCTCAAAAGTCGTTCACATCAACTGGGAAATATCGATTTTGGAAAAAATCGCCTGAGCGGTTTAGGCACAAGCCAAGACACAGTTGGCCACAGACAAACGGACGGACGGACAAAAGTTTTGCTGTCAATCGATTTTTCGTTATCAAAGACCCACAAAACCCAAATTTTGACAAAGCAATGTGTTCGAGACAATAATTTACTACATATATATATATATATATATATATATATATATATATATAAACTTATCAACTTTGTTGTTATCAGAGTCCGGCATTAATGTTTTTTTCTATCAAATTTCATCGTATTCCGGCGAACGGTAACAATACTTTATCTTCTTGAAAAGTAAGATGCTTCTTACGAAGCAAGAAAAGAAAGTATAAAGTTAATTCAGTGTTGTTTGACGGTGAAGAGACGTCCAAAATACAGAGAGGTCAAAGGTCATAAAATGAGTATTTTTTCTATTGTCAATTTTGAGATTATCAACTCTTAGAAATTATATGTGCGAGTAAGGAATTAAATTGTGGCGCATAAAGAGTGATTTCGAGAAAATGTGCACATTCCAAAGAACATGAACTTCAAAGTAGTGAAATATTTCTTTTTTTAGTATGTGTGGGGGCAGGTGCTTTTTGAAAGATACTACATGAATAGTGATACGGAGTGGAAAATGGAAAAGCAGTCTCATATTCCTTACAACTTTTTTGACCCCGTCGGTGCGAGAATGTATGTTTGGATATACTTTTTTCTAATCACATTTCCTGATGAAGATTTAAAATTTATAGGGCGTGAATATGTTGCAGTGACACACGCTATAGGCAAATGATTAAGATTCATATAAAATGTAAATAGATACGATCTAAATGTTTATGTAAATGGATTCATTCATTTTAAACATTAGATAATCGAACAATTATAAACTTATCTCTAATAGCCACCTTCTTCACTTTTGAAAGAAAACAGTTTCCTTTCACCCAATGGTAATTAATCATAGATTTCTCGATTTTCTTAATTTTTTTTTCTTCTCCAATTCTTGCAAAGCAAAACTAATGATTCTTTGCAAATTCTCTTAAAAACATGTGTTCTTTTAATCTCATTTAATAATTTTCTCGCCTCGCCAATTACGACGATAACCATTTTTCCAAAGTACTACCTGTATTATGGTAGTCATCTTTGCACCAAAAAGCATGCTTAGACTACAAAAAACTCAAGAACCACAATGTAATTTCTAACAAATAACAACACATCAAATTCACATCAACATATCAGGTAGATGCAAGAAAGAAACCATGACATCTGAGTTTAGTTCTTTCTAATGATATCTTAAATCATCACGAGCTCTTCAACGTCGCTTTTGAAATCAGAAAAATCTACCGCAAGGTCCACTACACGCATCCCTCCTGTTGCCTCCCTTCATCTTGGACTCGTACTAGATTTCAAAAAAGGCTTCCTGCAGAGAACACTGGAAACAATCTTTGGGATACTTTACCAAAATCCAAGTTCTTATTTTTCCTAACTCCTACTAATGTTACATTTCTTAGTATCACACGAAATATGAAATTTACATCTAAATTGTTTTAAACAATATGTCTTACTAAAAATTTAACTGAAGAATTCGGAATTCTAGAACGTCGTTACAAACTTCACTTGCCCAATGGCGACCCTTCCTGCATCATCTCCATTTCCTCTCAAGGAAACCAACAACAAGCTTTCTTCTCAGAGTAGTAGCAGCAGGATAGTAAAGTCTTTCGAATATATGGGTATTCATAATTAATAAATCGCCTAAATTATTGTTTGAAAATAAAAATGCTGCACCAAGTCGGAGAGACTGTTTCATTTATGTCCGAATTATGGAGAACTTAAAACAATGTCTTGTGGTACTATCATAATGAGCTCATTAAACCCAACAGCTGTGAATAAAAGTGAATATAATCTTACAAGAAAAATGTATGTGAAACTTAGCGGGAAACAATAATAGAGTAACGCTTTCAATTAAACCACATTTGTGATATTACTAAATATAAAATGCAATACCACGCATTACATAAATTTGTAGGGAGCAAAATGTAAATCACTTCCTAAAGAGCTCCTTCATAGGAATACTTTCCTGACCGTGAAAATATGTCCTTAGCCGAGTCAAGAAGTTTTAAGAGCCAGCCTCTATTATCGACTCCCAATTAAATATCAAAAGAAAAGAGGCAGATGTACAATGTCCATGTCCTTTCGGCTCATTCAAAACTATTTTTTTATCTAGCTCTCGACAGGTATCACATTAATGTGACACTTCTAAAGTCCACAAAAAGTCTCTGATGAGAAAATAAATGTTTGCGTGTTATTAACTTTTTCTCTGCAGACAAATTATCCAAATAAATTTATCTGTGAATTGCATTGAATTCATTTTACAGAATTCAAATATTTAATTCAGCATAAAAACGGTAGGCGCTTCTTGAGAAGTTTCTTTTATTAATAAATATATAATACTAACATAATACTCGTAAAACTTGGACCGATTCTTTATACAGTGAATAAAGTAATGTTCTCCACTTCCATCCCAAATATTCAAGTACTAGTTTGTTAATAAAGATTGTTAGAATTAACTCATATTTAAATACAATGACAAAGAATTTTTATATTTTTCATCGTTGTCGCAAACACGACCACAGTTTAAAATGAAAAATATCATCATCATCTGTATCTCCTCTTTGAGCTCACCATATTCTTCAGTTTATTCTATTCATCGCATTGCTTTTGAGTTACTCGGATGCTACTCTCGTCCAGTATCTCATCCAGCATCTTGATCCTCGTCCTTCATCTTGTCTCTGTCCCAGCTTCTTGAACCAGTTTGAATATCGTGTGTTAGCATTCCTGCGATTGGGTAAGTTGCAAGTTTCTTGTTTCAAGTTTCTTGTATGTTGTATTGTTTCTTGTGTTCATCTTTTGTGGATTATGAGATTTCTCAGTTATTTTGGTAGCCTGCCGTTTGTGATCTGCGAAAGCGAGCAACCACTACTGGCACTTAATACGCGATTTCAGAAAGTTTCTTTTTCTAGTACGCACCAACGAATAGTTTCGTTGCATTCCGCTTACAGTAATATAAAAAATCGCATGTTGTGACCAACATCTAGTGATTGTTAATCGCATGACATCGTGGTCAAAAGTCAGTTGACACTTATTTCTCATTTACTGATCTACTTCTGTAGATGTTTTCAAATTATTTCAGTCACGTGAAAATGACTAATCGTGGATTTGAGGAGCCTTTTTAAATGATATTCTAGTATTCATACAGACGTTTGTGAAATGTATTTGCCAGCTGCTACATGAACATAGGGTGGTATTGAAATATTATATTCATATATTAAAAGAAGATGCTGGTGTACTCTTAATTACTCCAACTCAGAATTTGTATTCAAAAACATAACAAAAATATGGCATAATAGAAATGTCTCGCCTAAGGGGGGATAACAATGGGTAAAATTAAAATCAACACGAGTTCTGTGACATCCACGTCTCTCCTTGAAAACTAGTGAAAACTTTACAGTTAGAAGTTATTTGCAATAGCTACGTACCGACAAAGATTCTCATACTTCTCTTCTCACTGTACGAATTCAGTTTAAATTTAACTTTTGAACAATTCTCTGTGTTAAGAAACTGAAGTGTGACAAGTTTCAAAGCAAGCAGTAGTCATGGCGTTTGTTGTACACCAGTTACTTTTTCTGTGATTGCTGTATACGTTGCATGCATTTTACACTAATAAAATATATCTATAATAAAAAACTAACAATCTCAAAAAATAACAATGCACATTGCTATTTTGGGTACGCAAGGTAATTAGTTTGGTAACTTAAAAGATCTTGCATTCCTTCCACACGCAAAAGTCGGTATACCAGAAAAACAACCACTGAAGGACCCACAATACAACAAAAAACCTCACACATCGGCCCTCACACATCTGCGGCAAGCACAACCAAGAATCAAACGTTAATCACGTTCATCATCCGTATGTTGCAACTCCGCAAGCCAAAGTTATGAAACTTTCTTAAAAAGCAAGAACCTTCTCAGATTTTTAATTCCTAGAAGAAGCGTGATAGATTGAAAATGAATTTGAATAAATTCCTAATATATTAAATCAAAGCATGTCCATCACAATTCAACCCAACCACCCAACAAAACATGTAATTTGACACTTTCCAAATGTACAAATTTTGGTCATTTGTAATGACAAAGTTTCCAACTAACAAAATGGAATAAAATAAGATTACAACGTAATACGGTTCATTCTAACTTCTGCTACAAGAAGCTTTCTGACTACTGCTACTTGTGGTGCAATTATGTACACTAATACCTACTGTAAAATCACTACTGCAGGTAAAGAGATGATTGAATAATGAGTTAACAAAATTTTGACAACAATTTATTCGAAACAACAGAAATATTAGGGGGGATATGTCATTCCAAAGGGTTAAATTAATACTGTTCTAAAAATCTCATCATTTCCTCTCAAATCATGACCTGCCCAATTCCTTTCCCTCCTCTCAGTCACCACCAATAACTGACTTCGCTCCCCATCCACCTTCTTATGCCAAAAGAGGTAACAAAGCTTTTGATTTCTGGGTTGAAAATAACGTCTTTTGCTTGTTGACTAATTACGTGCAAATGCCGCGCCGTGCGTTTGTTTCATTAGCCCAATCAATCCCCAGCGCGAGGCCCCAACTACCCTGCTCTGGCCTGGCCTGGTTCTGGCCACGGGCCAGTGGCCTTGCCTCGCCCGCGAGGCTGCTGCACTACGCCGCCAGTCGCCTCACCGCCCGCGACCAATCTACTGATTTGGCCATCTCTTGGAGCGCCACGGACACGCGGTTGAAAAACACATGGGCCAAGAACGAAGGCAGGCTGGCTTGCGGACGCGGCGGCGCGATGGGTGGGGGAGAGAGAGGCGAAGGGAGAGGGCGTGAGAGAAGCCCGGAAGGCGGAGCGGCGAGAAAAGAGCGAGGAGCAGAGCGGGCGGCGACACACTTCCGCCATCGACCAGAAGCGCCGGCGCGGCGCGCCGGATCCAAGAGCAGCGGGGCGGATGCGGGGGCGGGGCGGGGGGCGGTGGAGGTGGGCGCTGGTGAGAGGGGAGAGGGCTTCGTGTGTGGTCGGAGGAGCGAGAGATGACGCGAAGGGAAGATAAGGGTGAAGGCGCTGGCTGTGGAGTTGACTGAGGCGTTGGTTGAGCGTTGCCTTAGGCGTATAGGACGTTGGCTTCGGTGTTGGCATGTCTTTGACATTGATGTGGGCATTGCATCGTCTTTGGCGTCGCCTTTGAAGTCGTTCTGACTTGGTTTTAACGTTTTTCTTGGTGTGTCATGATGTTGGCTGTGGCATTGCTGTTAAGCGTTGCCTGTGGCGTTGGTTTTAATGTGGATTGGCTTGGTGTTGGGCATAGCTGGGTTCTGGCGTTGAATGTGCGGTCTTGATTAACAGTATTTTGCGTGGGTGGTTGGTAGTGAAGATGGCTGAGGCGTGTTTGGCGTTAGCCCGGCGTACCTGCGGTACTTGGCGTGTCATTTGGGTATTGCGTAAGCTGTGCCGTGGCTAGGGCGTTAACTGAGGCGTCAGCTGAAGGCGAATGTCTTGCGGACATTGGCCCGCGGAAGCTTTAGCTAATGCAAGGTGATGTTGTATGCATTGGTGATTGGTGATGGCCGGTTGGCGATGGCGGAGAAGGAACGCGGAATCGGAGGTGGGGTGAATGGAGAGCCGGAGGCAGTGGATGAAACTTTGGCAGCGGCGGCGGAGGCATGTTGTGGCGGAGGTGAGAGAGCAGATAGAGACGAAGGCGATATCCGATGTGACATGGTGGAGGGGGGTACTATGGTGGTGGAAAGTTAAGGAAATGGCAACTGCAGAGGAAGAGGGAGAAATAGGAGGTGGAAGAGGGAAGCTGAAGTTGACGTTGGCTTAGTCATAAAACGGCCTTGGCTGTGGGGTGGGTTGGGTGTGTTGTCAGGAGATAGGCTGTGAAGTTGGCTGAGGCTTAGTAAATCTGGAGGTGGTGGTACGTTGGTACAGGAGGTGATTGTGGCGGAGGTAAGGGCGATGATTTGATGGTAGCACGAAGATACTTTTGTCTGTTTATTTCCTCATTTCTTTGTCTTCAACCAGTTACAGAAACTATTATAGATTTTTTCTAGCTAGCAGAAGCTAAAAAATTAAAATGTTATTTTAATCGTATTTGTTTAGTAAATACAAACTTATAAAACCATTTTTTAAATTTTAAATGACTCTAATTTACATTTACAATATCCCATCTGCTGAGCTTATTAATAATTATTCTCTAATTTAAATGTTAGTCATAAATTATTTAACCCAGTACGGCTTTTTTCACTTTTCACATGTTACGTGTAGTCTTCAAAATAACGCAAACAATCAATGAAAAGAATGGATCTTGAAAAATCAAATTTTCTAACAAAAGACACATCAGAAGCAGAAAGAACTCGACGATGCTGAAGCAAGCGAACTAGCGAGAGGTTTGGTAATAAAGTCGAGACTCGAAATGGAGCCAGCAGAAGATGGGATATTTGCCTGCGTAGGAAGCTCCAGGGCGTAGGTAGATTGGTTGGCGGCGACAGAAGCAGCGTAGGCTCTGATTGCGGAAGTGACATTTGATGCAAGGTGTGGAAAAACACCTCAAATTAAGGTAGAGAAATATGCGGAAGTGCGCAGATCATTTGTAGTTTAGGAAATGATACACAAACAGAGTGGAAAGCTCAAATAGAATAGTTTCTTTTGAGATGTCTGTTCACACATTTTTAATCGTGCGGATGTCTGTTCACACATTTTTAATCGTTACAGTTTATCTTTTCCCCATCATTGAAAAGGGAAAATTGCATATTTTTCGTTATTCAACAAGATCATAATGATATTTATAACATAAATGTTAATCACATTCGTGTTGAAGTGATATTAAATTTGAATATAAAGTTTCCCCTGCAAATATCAGCCCAATGGAAATCATGTATAGGGGAAGGTGTTAATCAAACCATTAGTAAGCGTGTTTTAGTAATAAACCTCAAACACTGTGAAACCAATAGTTCGCTATAAAATTTTCTGAAATTAATGTTTTAGACAGCATAAGATGTATTTAAAAATATTTTGTGAATCTAATGTCTTTTTTTCGAATTCCTTTTGAAAATTATATGCCTGTACGTAATACACAGACGAACAATGACAGTTAATATATATCAAATAATTCCGTTTGAAGTGAAAATGAAAGTCATGAGAATAAAGAAAAAATCCTACTTCCCTTCCTACTACGACAATGAAAGTAAATTCAATTGAGTATGCGGGAAAACTCTCCTTTTACTTCCAAATATTTTGTAGAATATGAAATGAACGTCTTAGTCACCTCAACCCCCGCCTTAATCACCAGAGCAAACATGGAGGTGCGTTTGCGTGAGTGATGCTATCGACTATCGCGTGCATTTCAAAACCGTTCGCGTCGAAACGGCGGTTGGTGTCGTGAGCGATTAAGACTGAGCTGAGTTGCCGCTCTTAACATGAAATTTCCTCCCAGGAATAAGTGCGAAAGGAGCTGTTTTCTTTTCTAATGAACGAAGGTGAATTTGTACTTTTGACATGATATTATTAAGAAACAAAAATTATTTAAAGAGCGACTCTGCCAGGATTTCTGTTTTCTGGAGAATATACGTATAGTATTCAGCTGAGTTGATGCTTCTTAAATAGAATTTCTCATTCATGCCGAATAAAACATTTATTTTGTTTGTTCATTTCTATTTACTAAATCGTATTTAAATGAGGCATTGAATGAATTTCGTTACTACAGAAAATTAGTAGAAATATGTGTGGGAGAGGGGAGGGGCTGTAACACCAAGAGCAACGCTAACTTGGATGTGCCACTGTCCTTAAGCAACCTCTAATGATTAATGTTCTCCCTCGTATTATATGGACTTAAAGAATCTAAATGAAATGTAGGCGGAAAACTAGTGTGAGAAACATAAGAAAGTAATGCTGCAAACCAAAAGATTCATTTCTTTCGGGGAAATTAATTTTACTACCGCTTATATACACATTCAAAGTGGGTTATAGTAACATGATATTGGGGTAAAGAGTTGTGAAGTGTCGCACTGGGAAGGAAAGAGCACTTATTAATGACCAAATTCCAGAATCATTATAATCTTTATAATAGCGAATTTTCGTGACCGGACTATACCCGAATCTTAAAGAAAAACGGATCAATTGTTTTTATCATTTTGCGTTCTGACGACTCATAGGGTTATTAATTTTCTATCAGATTACTAGACAATCATTATCTTTCTCGCCAAGGAAGAAAGGTCTTCACAACAGCAAACATCGCATGCGACTTTCCCTAACATTTATTGGTATTGCTTATAGGGGCAGATACTCCAAAGGTAC